ACTTTAAGACTTGTGGACTTCAACTTCCATGATGGGGAATCCTGGGAGCTTCAGTCCACAAGTCTTAAAAACGGCCAAATTTGGAGAGCCCTGATATATACAGTAGATGAAATTTCATCCACAATTTTGAGTAGAAGAATGAAGCTCTTGGGTTGCCTGGTGTTGAACCTGAGCCACAAGGTAGTCCTTGACTCATGACAGTTCATTTAGCAACCGCTCTAAGTTATGACGTCACTGGGGGAAAAAAATGACTTACACCCATTTTCACATTTCATGGTCACAAGATCAAAATTCAGTTGCTTGGCAACTGACTCATATTTATGGCGATTTTCCTATGTCCCCGGGGTGTGTGTGTGATCCCTTTTTGTGACTAACTCTCAATCAGACTCAACGGGGAAACCAGGTTTCCCTTAATGACTATGTTACTGACTTAACAACTTGCGGCGATTTGCTTAACAAAGATAGCAAGAAAGGTCCATAAAATGGGACCGAATTTACTTAACTCTTTGCCACAGAAATGTTGGGCTCAATTGTGGTTGTAAATCAAGGACTTCTTTGTGTGAGTGTCTCTGTGTGTGTATGTATGTACGTACACATACACATACACATACATACATACATACATACATACATCTATCTATCTATCTATCTATCTATCTATCTATCTATCTATCTATATATATATATATATATATGGATCTTTGGTTGTTCGGGTTTTCTCCCGCGTAAGATTCAAAGTATCTAGGCAACGTTTCGATGAAGTCTCATTCATCAGCATCAGGCCTCTGTCTTCGGTTCTTGCTTTTCAGAGTGATGTGAAATTGCAGCTGCTTTTTTCTTTCCAACTGCCAGTGGGGGTGGGACTTGATTGGGTGGGGGCTTGGCTGTGTTCTGATTGGGTGGGGGTGTCTTCTCATTGGTGGGGGGCCTGGCTGTGTTTTGATTGGTTGGGGGGTTGGCCGTGTTCTGATTGGCTGGATTTCCTGCTGCCCGGCTTCGAGTTCGAGGTCGCGCTGCATCTCCATAGTGGGTGTCGGCCTGCTTCATGTATGGCTCGGAGGGGTTTGAAGTGGGCAGTGATGAGGTTGCAGTGTAGCTTCTGGTCCATGTAAGTACCAGCGAAAACTTAAGAAATATATATATATATAT